AGAGAGAGAATTAAAGAAATCAACGGTTCCAACACAAAATAAAGACATGAAGGCCAACAGATAAATAAATAAATAAAACAAAATAAAGAAATGAAGGTGGAGAAGTGCCGCACCTTTTTTTTTTTTACCTTTAGTATTTAATAATCACTTTAAATGTTAATTAATTCGAATCAAGTTGGATCGGATATTATTAAAGAGAAATTTTTTTAATACTTTTTTTATATTTAAAAGGTTCAAAATCAGTATTTTATTTAAAAATATCAAATTAAATTTTTTTAATATTTATTTTTTTATATATATAATTTAAAATTAATATTTTGTTTAAAAAAATCAAGCTATTTATACTCGAACCAGTAGTGCCGCACATATGCAGAGGCGATAGATGGTGTTATCACGTGAAAGATGGGACCACGGGTAGACCGAAACCAATCCAGTAAAAAATGGATTGGATTGGATAAAAATCCAACATTGTTTGGATTGGTTTTAGTCCATAATTCATTGAAACCAAAGTTTCAGAGATTGGGTCCAAATCCAGACTACACCATAAAAACCATCCAAGTTGCACCCTAAGAAAAAGTCCACACATCACACTCTCAGTTGAGTTTAAATTATTTGACTGATCATATGTGGTAACATTCATGTAGATAAACATTCAACACTTCATTTCTTTACGGAAATATACACTGCTAGATTTTCTTTAGACAGGATAGCATCTACATCTACTGGAGATCAAAATATTTACAAAGGGAACCATTGGTTCAAGCTACTTCAAGACGAAGTATGCCAGACATCCTATACATTCTCGTCCTAAAAGGAACCTCAAGCTCAGGGTCTCACCTTTTATCTCTGGCTACCAAATACAGCCTCTCTGGTTATAAGCTTAATGCCTCTCACCCATAGCTTGGCTGTTTCTAGCCCCCCTTCACACACGAAGTGTACCTCCCTGTTAAAGGTGGTAACAACCCGGAATACTCCGGGTTCGTTAACATCACTCTTGCACTGCCTGTTCCTCGCAAACATTGGGCTTGGCCCCACACTTGCCTCTCGGCATATCACGTTTCGCTGGCTCGACTTCCCCCACCGCAGCACCCCTGTAGACTCAACCATTCTCAAGATTTTACGATGTGAACGTCCTTTTCCTCCCTTTGTGTGCTTCATCACACGGCCACCTTCTATAACCAGCTTCCGAGCAAGCGCATCCAAAATAACACATTCTGCATCATTTTTCATGCCAACACTCTTCCTACTCCTTGCAAGAGAGAGGGCAGTTTCGCCTCTGACATTCTTTAAGTTGCAATTGGCCCCATGCGATATCAAAAGCTCACACATGGAAGCATGGCCTTCCCTTGCTGCAAACATAAGTGGAGTGCAACCATCACCATCGGGGACATTTACATCATAGCCTTTCCTCATCAACAATTTTACTGCATCCAAGTCTCCTTGTCGAGCAGCACAATGTAATGCATAAAATCCTTCAGCATTACGATTGCCCTTCTCAAGTGCAAATTCAAGCAACACCTTCTCAAACAGATCACGGTTTTGGTTCAGCTCAGACAGTGTGAGAGCATTCTTACCCAATTTATTAGATAGCTTAAAATCGGCCCCTGCATAAACCAGCATGCGGAATGCTTCAACATGGCCCTTTAAGGCAGCAACCATAAGAGCCGAAAAACCATTTTCATCCTGATAATCAAGGTTTATTCCTCCCAAGCCAATGAGCACTCTCAAAGCCTCAATATCACCAGCTTGAGCTACGAACATTAGAGGACTGAAAACTGATGTGTTGCTAGATTGAGGAATCTTTCGAGCCCTTATTGCATTCAGCACTGCTTGCTGAAATCCAAGAGACCACCGATTTGATCCAACAATTGAACTCACAGACTGACCATCAACATTAACTAGGCCAAAGTCAGCACCAGACTTGGCCAAGACTCCCAAACATTCTTCATGCTTATATTTTGCACAGATCATCAAAGCTGTGTCGCCAGAATCAGTTCTGGAGTTTAGATCACAACCAGAATTAATTAGGGATTGAAGAACTGTTGCTAAACCAAGACGGGCAGCAATGTGTATTGGACGGAACTCTGTTTTGCTGGTTGTTTTAACAGGGCATTCTACATTGGCACCACAATTCAGAAGAACGTTGACTGCGCCTGCATTGCCACAGAGGATTGCATGGTGCAGGAGGGTTCTTCCACAATGAGGAATGTCAGGGGAGATGTGCCGGAGTAGCATGCGTAAGATGACTCCACTGTCTTCAAAGTATTCCACAGCACACCATGTGATGGCGTAGGGCTCAGCCAGTCCAGCACCCACTCGAAACTCTTCACCGGTTGTCACATCCCATGACCATGCTCCAAGTCCTACTGTAATGTCAGTGGGCGCACCATTCTGCATTAATGTTTTGGGACAAAAAGGATTTTAGTTATAAAATTAACAAAAAGGGATCGCTGAATTCATCTTGGTTATTACTTTACGTAAAAGTACGCATTGATTAATTTTGTAAAACAACAACTTGTACGAAGGTAAAGGCACACAGAAATACACACTAGAAGATTAGGA